AGAAGGAAGAGAGAAAGGAAATAGGCTTACAGGTTTTGGCTTTAGGCAAGAAAATATAGAAAACAAAACAGCAGTAACACAGTGGATAAAGAGGCATAGAAAAATATATAAAATTGCTAACACAGTCAGAAGCAAGGGGGCGAAAAAAATCACAAACAAAAACTCAGAGCAAGCCAAAGCCTCAAGCTTAACCATTCAAGAACCCAACCTGTGAATAAACACCCAACAACCTGCTGAAAACATCAAAAACCAGTAAACCAACCAGGCCTAAAGAACCATAACCTGTCAACCTCTGCTTGAAACAAAAAACCTTGTGGCCTAAAAGCAAAAACCTGCAAGATCACCAAGGCCATAACCTGCAAATCCACAAGCATCAAACGATCTAAACCAGTAAAGCCCAACCTGTCAAAGCCTAGCCTTAAAACACTAAGCAAAAACCTGTCAACCAAACCTGTAAAATCATTAACCAGCAAAAGCCCTTAACCAGCAAAAGTCCAAACACCATATCCAAGCACACAGGGCAACTCAAAAGTCAGGCAACTCTAAGCCCTCAGAACATTGTCATCATTGGGCAAACACACGAGTCAAACACCTTAGCATCTCATCATCAATACAATATTCAAGCATACAAGAAAGGCATCAAGACAGCAAGAGAAGAGAAAAAGAAGCATCTCAGTATACCAAGCTCTCAGGTGATCATCATCAAGCATATCAATAAAACAATATTCAAGCATACAAGGTAACGATCCCACAGAAGAAGCATTCGAAGGCAACATCAAAAGGCAACAGAAACGAGGTAGAGAGAGGAGAGGGAAAGCATTCAAAAGCAGCACATAAGGAGGCCCTCAGAGTGTTCTCATCACAGGGCAAGCAAACGAAAGCACATCAGAGGTAACATATCAGTCATCATCAAGCATACTGAAGCATACAACAAGCTAACGAGCAAGAAGGAGAAAGAAGTGACAAAAAGTTCTCAGGCATTATCATCATCAAACTTAAAGACAAAGTACGAAATACCAGGAATCCAAGCGAGCTCAACATCCTCACTGTTTCCTCCGCCGTCAAGCTGCCTACGCGCCTCCAATCCCATCTTCTCCTCCGTCTCCCAAAAGGTAACATAATTTTCCTTTCTCTTCATACCTCAAACAAAAGAAACACTTAATAAAAACCAATAAATCAGAACATGCAAAAGAAGAAGAATGAGAACCCTAACGAGATTGAGACGAAATTTTTTACCTCGCATGAACCATCGCTCGAATGATCCATGGACGGAGGAAGAGGTGGCGCTGGTGGCTTGGGCGAAGAAGTTGGTTCAGCATTCGGCGTAAGGAGGCGAACGAAGCAAAGACGAAGAAGAAGGGCGCCGCGCCTCTGTGTTACAAACCCTAAGATGTCCCAAGTGATACAAAAACTCACAACCCTAAAAAACATTGTTAAGACGTTTGGGCCTTGCCCTTTTGATCAGCTTAAGCCCATTTCCAGTTCCACGTACACCCCCCCATATTTCTTCTGATCATTTGTTGTTTGGGCCAGTGCAAACCCCTTTAGGCCCATCCTCTCCTTTTTGCTTTTGTTTTGAACATAAATATTTCTTTATTTCCTTTTCATAAATTAATTCCTCTTTTTATTATCAATTTATCATTTTTCTAAATTAATAATTTCTTTGATAAACAAAAATCACACATTTTCATATTAATTTTCTTAATTGTTTCCCTTTTTATTATTACCTTTTTTAAGAAAAGATATGAATATTAATTTTTCTAAAAGCTGAACAATTTTCTTTTCTTTTCTTTAGTTAAAATCTTTGTATACATTAATACTAAAAAATACATAAAAGAATAGAATTTAAAAACATTTTTCTTTCTTTAATTAAATTTTCTTACTTTGTATATATTAAACAAAAAAATATAAAAATACAAATTTAAATCAAAAGTGGATGATAATACTTGATAAATAAACAATATTTAATTTTCTTATTAAATTCACATTTTACAACTTGTAAATAATTACACTTACACATACACAATACATTTTACATTTGATACATTATACATTCGCTATTCTTACACTTTGCTATACATTACATTGATTACATTTGATCGCGATTCGATTTGGTTGTAATTATTTAAGTCTCATCCCCATTTGTGAATTTGTACCCCCACTCCCGGATATTATTTGTAATAGCGTAGACTTTAAATTCTTGCAATTTATCACTTTCGAATTATACCATGATTAGACCTAGGGTTTGCATGTACATAAAATCAAACGCTAGATAACCTAATACAAAGAAAAATGCATGAAATCAATACACAATCACATTTGCACCCCCTAGGGTAATCCCACATGTTGCCTTCCAAAATGGGCCATGCTTGCACGTCGAGTTTCTTTGGCAAAACAAATTCAAATGATCATAAGTCCCTCGATGACGCTTTCGAAAGTCGCCTATCAAAATGATCAAGTCCCTTCAAGCAAAATTGCCAAAGACACTTGGCACCATTGCATTCATGGTCCGTACGATGACCCGCGCCTGTCCCGATCACGTCCTAAACGCAAGATTGTCCACCAAATTCAATAGTGGAACAAAATTGTTTAAAAAAGGTTGAAAACATAGAGAAAACCTTTGAGTACAATAGGGGTAGACAGAACTCTTAGTTACTTGAGATCAACTCGCAAAAACACTTGCCTCCTTTTCAAAACCACACTTCACAAACACTTTCAAAACCAACTTCCAAAAACATTTTGAAACATATTTTCGAAAAGATACACATCGTTGTATATACTCAAACACGAGTCATTACAATGGTTGCCGAAACAAAGGCGTCTATTTCAAAAACATTTTCAAAACACACACATACACCACAATTTCAAGCAATCAAAAATCAAGGCAAGTGATCTAAAACCAAGTAACTAAGAGCCCATGGATAACCATGGATGAAAAGGGTGCTAATACCTTCCCTTTTCATAATCTACCCCCCGAACCCACGAAACATCTCAAAAGGTTTTTCCTGTGCTTTTTAACCTTTCCTTTAGGATAAAATAAAAAGTCGGTGGCGACTCTTGCTCAACCGAACAAGTGCGAATACAAACGCAAAACTCAAGTCAGTTCTCCCACCGTATCACATTCACCTTCGGTAAAAGTCAGTGCATTTTTTATTTTTCTACCTTTGACCCTAAATTGTAAACTCACCATCGTCTCGAGTCAGTAACCATCTATATTTTTGCGGCCTATGCAAGGCGTTTTCTTTGTTAGAGCCAGAAAAATGTTTTCTCTCGAAGTTATTCCCCAATAAGAGTCTCTCATTCGAAGAATGTGGCTCTGTTTCTCCAGTAGAGTTACAATCTCTTCCCCTGTGGATTATTTTATCACGTGCTTGGTTTCTCCAGCATTAGTTTGTCTCATGCGGCATCATTCCCCATAAGATTCAAATATTACATTCATATCATATCATAAACACGATGGCGGTATCTTAGGGCCAAAAATTGCATATTATGTATTTAAGTCCCTTCAATCTCGTCGAGACAAAGATTTCAATCTTCATATCTCCAAATAGAATAAACTTAAATAGGGGCAACTGTCATACCCCAATTTTTGACCTAAGATTCCATCTTCATTTGCATTTTTCATATAAGATCAAGGTCATGAAACATGGTCGGTTTTAACTCTCTCATCTTCAAGCATTGCCTATGCATAGATTATCAAGTATCGTGGACATTTTATCTTATGCGTCACTAACTTCTAATCAAATACAAAGGTGTATGTTTTTGGTTTCTTTGGCGTCATGTGTCGAGACAGGTCTGAATCAAGGGCATCAGGCGTTGCGCCTCAATTAGGGTTTACTATGGATGCTTTTACTTCTTTACTTCAAGTTGTATCATTCATCTCCAAGATTTCTTTAATGCATTTCCACTGAGAGCGCGTCCAGTCGAGAATTTTCTGAGTATTGAGGGGCAAAAGTATTGAGTTATGGTATAAAATATGAGGGGTGGAATATTGGTATTCACAACATTGTTGCCATTCCAATTCAAATTCACCAAGAGCTTTGGGTTGGGTTTATTTCTCTACTGTCCATCAAGAGAAGTGGAGTTTTCTTCCTCCATGAAGTTTGAGTTACTCATCAACCGAGACTCATTGGTTTTTCATGATAAATCTATTTTGGTTATACATATCTCCACATTCATTTCGTAAAATTTTCTTCAAGGAAATATTTTAATTTTGATTATCAAGTCATGGAACAAAAGTGAAGTGGTAATCAAGACAATCATTTGTTACGAGTAACTTGATTTTATGGATTGAATTAGGGTGTCTTTGAGAAATGAGAACTAATTTGAATTCTTCGATTATATCTTCAAGTTAATTGGATCAAGATTTTTAAAGATGGGATGTTCACGTATTTGGTTTTGCTTGGAAGTTAAGTGACAAGTTCACTCAACAACATTCAAGGAAATTTACAAAATTCCTTATGGATAATTCTCGAAGTTTTAGAATAAATTTGTATTCGATTCAAATGTTATTCTAAGTGCATTCATGTCTAAAATTCTATCAAAGACATTCAAGATTTCCAACAAGTCACATCATAATTCAAGAACTCACTCCATATGACTTTATTCTATTAACTTGCAAAATTCATCAACCAAAGTTTTCAAATGAGATCATTCCAAATATCATTCACAAAACTCAAGATTCATTCAAGTTTTCAAATTACAAGAGATCGAAACCTAGGAGGAAAGATTCGACTTGAAGCTCATCATAAATTTACATTCATCATTATTACAAAGTTACAAGAGGAATTTCAAGTCTGTACATCAAAACTCTAATCCTAATCTCCTAAAGCTTCATGCTTTAAAACTTGCAGTCCACTTTATGCCAAATCTGCACCATATGCCCAATTTCCAGCCATGCTACAACACACAAATTTGTCCAAAATGTTGTTGTCCACTCTGCATATCAGCCCTGCAAAAGACATATCAGAATCAACTATACACCAGTCCAAAAACAGCCTCTATGCTTCCCCTAACCCTGTCCAAACCTGCACCATATCAAGCCAAGAGTTACTCGAAATTAGTTATACAAAAGCTCCATCAAGAAAGCTAGAACAGAGCATACCACTTTTGTTAAAATTACCAAAAACTTTCCCTCCAAAGTCACTCCAACAGGCTTATAAGAAGGCTTCCTGGAACAGAAAAAGGGGGAAAAAGATTCTAGGCAAAACTGAAAGAAAGGAACCGCGACAGAAAATTGAGAAATAGAGAAGAAGAGAAGGAGAAGCAATAATAGAAGAAGGAAACTTACTATCTTTTGAAGCTCCATCGGAGAACGATAGGTATCACCTTCTTCCCATAATCTTTCAACAATCAGTTTTTATACATCAGTATTTATTTGATATACTTACACTGTATCTCCATTTACATAATTAACTTTTTCACTTGCTTTGTGCCACATGATTGTATGATTTTGCTAAAAAAAATTTTGTGTTCCAAATTTGCTATAACGGGTAGAAGTCATAAAAACGTTAAAAGAAAAGAGTGTTAGAAAATATTGCAGAAAACTTACTCAAAACTTTCTCTAAAGCTTAGACATACATAAACTCCTGCTCAAAACCGAGACCACCATCATATTTGGGACCAATTCCAGGAACTGTTAATTCAACTGGAAACCATTTATCAAGACCCGTTTCCTTTTTATCGCCAGCAATATCCTCTTCACTTCCATTAGCTCAACAATCAGGAATACTTAATTCTGCCTCTCACTACACACCAACCAAGTTCTCCGTTTCCAATTTTTACTAGGACAAAACAACCTCGTGAATCTCGATATATAAAGTGTTCCTCTCCGCCACCTTTTTAACTCCCAACTACATTTCAAATTTTATCACACTATTATACCTAGCACTGGTTCTGTACCGAGCTGCCTTGACAACCTCTGTAAATGGGTTATTTCAACTCTAAGCCAACAATACAGTTTCCTGTCAAGGAGGATCCTGTGATTCTTGCATTACAAAATGCTTTCACTGTCAGCGAGGTCGAAGCATTATTTGAGCTTTTTAAGAGCATCAGCAGTTCTATCGTTGATGATGGAGCTTCAGGCTTCGATTCCACAGGGTTATTAATCCACATGCTCTTCTCTACATACCTCGACGATAGAGGTGACTGAGATGAAGATACGTTGAGTTCAAGTACGTCTTCACTGCTTCATTTCTGACTACTTCGATCTTCTCTTCTTTTCTTCTTCTCTGAAATCCGTGCTTTGATATGCGTTCATGTTGTTGCGGTTTTGTGTTGTTAAATATATGTGCGGCTGCGAATTCGTGAAGTTGAAGTCATGTGTGAAAGTTGTTGCATTTGTTGAAGATGCAGGAAATAGAGAAATTAAAGATGAACATAGAGGTGTTGTTGGTATAGAAGAGATGAGAAGAGTAAGAGATAAGCGTTGCGTTTGTTTTCTGAGAGAGGGAGAAAGCAGCATGTTTTCTAGGGAAGATTCAATAAACTTAATTAAATTCTTCCCCTTCCCAAAGTCAAGAAATTTCTGCGCCTCTTTTTTATCCAAACTAGGGTTCCAGAAAATTCCTCAATCCCTTTTGGTAACCTGGATCTGGGTTTGGGCCTAGCCTAATCCATTTTGAAAGTTTTGTGTTTTATAGTTTTTGAGTAAGAAAATATAATGAATGAACAGTTTGGTGTAGTGACTATAGCATGTGAGTGAAACACATGAGGACTTGAGTTCGATGCCTGGGTGAAGCAACATTGTTTTGTTTTTAATTTATTTGTTTTTATAGCATTTCTGGGCTTCAACTCAATCAATTTTTCCTAATCCCATTCGAAACTGTTAATACTCACCAATTTTCTGTTTCACACCTCTTTCATAAGTAATTTAGTTTAAAATTAGATTAATAATCTTAAAATTAATTTAGTTTAGATTTAAGTTAGTATTTTTATTATTAATATAGTTTAGATTAAATTAGAATTTTATAATTAACTTAGTTTACATTTAAATTAATTTAGATATAATTTAGTAGTTTTAGAGCTTTAATAACTTTAGAATTTCTATTTAGATTTAATTTAATAACTTTAGAATTTCTATTTAGATTTAATTTAATAATTTAATTTGATTTAGATTTAATTTAATAACTTTAGAATTTTTATTTGATTTAGATTTAGTTTAGTAATTTTAGAATTTTATTTGATTTAGATTTAGTTTAGTGACTTTGGAATTTTATTTGATTTAGATTTAACTTAATAACTTTAGAATTTTAATTTAGTTTAGATCTAATTTAGTAATTTTAGAATTATTTTTATAACTTTAGAATTTGTAATTAGTTTAGAATTATTTTAATAAGTAATCTTAGAATTTTAATGTAGATAATTAGTTTCCTTCTCTTTTATTTGTATTTAAATATCTTTGACATTTTAATTTTTCGGGGTCTGTCGGTCATTAATCTGTTTTGTTAGATTTATTTCCTTGTGAATTTTCGAACGTCCATTTTATTTTGTTCTTCCGTCTAAATTCCAAGGAAAATGTTTTAACTTTGTTGACTTCATGTCATTAAATACATCTTATACGATTGTGCGAATCCCTCCATTTATTTTTGTTTTATTATTTTTGATAACCTTAAGTTAATTTTCCTAAAAACCTCAACTTTAAAACCCACACCTTTTAAGTCAAAAGTTCGACATTAGACCGTCGTATCTTCCAAATCTCATTCACACCCATTTTGACCAAACAAACCATTTTAACCAAACAAACAATTTTTAACCAAAAAAATAGATATTTCAAAAGGTTTCTGCGGAGTACCGCAGATGCATTGGATGCTAATACCTTCCCATTGTATAACCAACTCCCGAACTTTAGATCTCTTTCAAAAAACGCATTGTATTTTCATTACTTTTAAGTATTATTTTATATTGCATATTTAAGGGTTTTATTTTACTATTTTCCCTTTTCCCTTGAAAATAATAAAGCGTGGTGGCGACTCTTGCTTTTGCGAGTCGAGTTAATTAATAGCTCGATATCCAATTTACACCACTACATTTTTTATCGCTACAAGTTGGTATCACTTGCATAGTATCGAGTCGTGAGTCACATTGGATTATATATAAGCGTTTGTGATGTTGATGTGAATTATTCATTCGTGCTAAGTGAGAATAAATGTATGTGGTGTTATGGTGCGATTAAATGATGTTGTTGTTGTGTATTTTAGTCTGCCCTCCCATTTTTTCCATTGTTAACATATTAAAGTTTACTCTCACCTTTTTCTCGTTGTTTTAGTGTTGCTTTTACCTTATTGTACTGATACTCAAAATAAGTGATCTAGTTGCGGTGAGTGGGAAGAGAGCCTTGGAGCTTATCTTTGTTTAGCTAGTTATCGTTAATTTAGTTGATTTGAAAGGCTCTAATATGTAATATCAGGAACATGGTGTTTGAGTTATTTTTGAATTAGTTTATGAATTAAGTTATTGAGTTTAGTTTTCTTTTGAAGTATAATGTTATGATTAAATTTCTCGGCAAGATGGTGAATTTTTAAATGATGAAAAGAGGTATGTTTTGTCGAGATACATCCTAAATTATCGTTTAATTCTTTTAAATAAAGTTTCGAGATTTAAGGTGTTATATTCAGAACTTGGGATCTATACTCTGAAGACTTAAACTCTGAAGCAGTTCAACTCAAAGATCAAGAAGACTCTGGTAATTCACTATCAGACTCAGAGGTCATTTCCTCTTCTTTTAATCACACGTAGATCCAAACAAAAATTTGCTCTGACAGTTGGGATGCAACACATAATTCCTCTTGTAGCAAAGAGAATTCAAATGTATTTTCAACAACATTAACCATATCAAGAAACTTTCTAACGTATATGATCAAGCTTCTCTAAGACTCACTTGTGCAAGCTCTTTTCTTCAACAACTCTTTCATGTCTCTCTATATAAGAAGCTAAAGACTTGAAGAATAAAACAAGTAATCCTTGACAATAAAAAGAGTTGTTACTCTGTCAAATCAAAAGCATAATTTTAACTTATAATTTCTTATCATTTGTATATCTTAGAAATTCACAAGTATTAAGAGTCTTTTTTAGTTGTATTATATTTACACCTCTGATTGTATATTAAGTGTAATATTTAAACAATCTTTAAGATAGATTGTTAGAAGTCTTTTGCTTGTGTGCTTGAGCATCTGAAGTCTTTTGCTTATGTGCTTGATCATTAGAAGTTTCTTACTTGTGTATTTGAGTATTGAAAGTCTCTTACTTGTATGTTTGAGCAATTGTAATCAGTAATGATAATAATGAAATCCATTGGAAGTTCAAGGAGACCGGACTACTCTCGTTTTGTAGGAGAAACTAGTATAAAATTATCGTGTGTCTCTCTTTCTTTCACTCTCTATCTCTGAACCTATTTTTATTCGCTGCAAATAGTTACCTTTGTATAAGATTCTAGACCTTGTGTTTGGAATCTGATAAGAATGTTTTAAAAAAAAGAAAAGAAAAAGCTAACACAATTCAACCTCGTTCTTGTGTTTTTCTCACCTTCAACGTTCATGTTATATAATATTGACTAATTCTATCACAACATAGACAATTGGATATTTCTTTCTTTCCAAGTTTTTTTATATTCCCTCATAACACACAAAGACGATAAAAAATTCTATTCTTTTTAGAAAGTTTTCTTTTAACTACTGAAGAAATTCAATGACTCAATTCTCATACTTCATAGTTAATCTATTAGCTTTCATCCAACTATAATTTGTAAATACATATAGAAAATAAAATTAAAATTCTACACAAATCATGTATTTTTAATGAAAACTTTGCTAAGTTCAAAAACTTTCTAAATCACATTGTAATATCAAAACATTGCTAAGTCACATTGTGATAAATCTACACCTAAATTAAATTAGACACACATTGTTAAGTTATATTTATAAACTACACATTTTAACAACCTATATTAAACTAGAATTTCTCCACACCTTTAAGAGAGATGTCAAGACTTTGATAAGTTAACTCAGCAACAATAACATTAAACCTCCAATATGAATAACAACAATATAAACCTTCAATCTCAATAGTAACAACAATATTAAACTTTTTACTCAACACAAAACAACAAGAACAACATTAAACCTTCAATTTTAACAACTACAACAACAACAACATTAAACCTTCAATCTCAATAACAACAACAACATTAAACATTTTACTTAACACAACAAAATTGTTAAACCTTCAATTTCAAAAATAACAACAACGTTAAACCTTCAATCTCAATAACAATTACAATATTAAACCTTTAAGCCTTCAATATCAACAACAACAATAACAACAAAACAATATTAAACCTTAAATATTTAGACAACAACCACAACATTATTGTTAAATGTATGGAGAAATAATTTACGTACAAGAAACATGATGAAGAAGTAAAAAAAATGAGTTTCATTTGAGTTTTGAATTTCTTTTCGAGTTTCATTCGAGTTCTTTTCTTGGAGTTTCCTTTGAGTGTCCTTCCTTTCCTTGCTTCGTTCGATTTGGAGAAGAGAAAATAGAGTTATGAACCTTGTTTGTGGAAGAAATAGTGTTTTTGAGTTTGATTTAGTGAAGAAATTGTGTTTTCAAGTTTGGTTTAGTGAAGAAAATGAAAAGTCATGCTTTGTTCGTTAATGGAAGATGATGTTTCGAGAGAGATAGTGAATTTTGCTAGGACTCGGTGAGATATTCGTTAATGTAAAATGAATAAAACTAGCATTCTGCTCTAGAAAAGGAAAATTGTGTCATTTTTCTCCTTGATTCTCGATTGAATATCCCAACCGAAGAGAATCTTATTTATTTTTAATTTAAAATAAAAATTAAGGGCTCATTATGATTATTACTTTAAAAATAAAAAAAGAAGGTCATTTTTCCCCTTCGTTGCAAGGTCTAACCAAGGAGAATTTTATTCTTTTTTAATTTAAAAATTATAAAAAAAACAATATAAAAATATAAAAAATATTATTATTGTGAATCGAATTCATGACCAATATTCTTTTTTCACTTGGTTGAACGGTCAACTGAATGAAAATGTTATTTATTTTTATTTTAAAAATAAAAGAAACATTTCATTTTAAAAATACAAAAATATTATTTTTAAGAATCAAATTCGTAATAAGTGTCACTTTTTCGTTCAAATGGGAGGTCCAACCAAAAAAAAATCTTATTCATTTTTAATTAAAAAAATCGTCTTATTGAATAAATTTTATTTCGGGTCTATATTTTATTGTAATATTTTCATCCTTTCAAATATTACCTCTTGATCTTTGGAACTCCGATATCATTTCTTCTTTTCGCTCTTCTTTTAACTTTTACATCCATAATCAATGCTATATTAGGTAGTCAAACTTTCTTCCAATCTAGAATCCAAGCATTCTATTTAAATTTCTAATAAGGTAGAAATTTGCCTAAAAAATGCATTCTCACTTTATATCTAATAAGATGCATATCTCTTTTCTAAAATATCAAAAGCCGACAAAAACCTAAACCATAAACATTAATTATTTTTTTCATTAGTTAATTGTAAATATAACTAATTCTACGTCTATATGAAACGTTAACTTAAATAAGACATTCACCGGTTTTTATGGAATTCATAGTGCTACATATGTAGTACCAAGGAAACAAAAATTATAAAACTGTTGCATAGTGAAACTTTGAGATAAACTAATAGGCACTTAGAGTTAGATGATTTACTTTTTATCATATATATAGATTGTAGAAGCCGCCTCATGTGACATTGGGTACTTAATACCAAAAACTAACTTGATGCCGGCAACATAGCTGGCTTGGATGTTATGTTTTGTTTCTTTTCAGTTTAACCTTTTCTGTTACAGTTAAGAGAGGAAACGATGACCACAACAACATCCTTTGGTTTATCCAAATCCATCGTTTTCCTGTTCCCGCTATAAAAAGTAAACTGAATTTGCATGCAAAAGGCACAAGGCAGTTTTGCGTGGTAACCACAAAAATGGAGAAACCACTCAAAATTTACTTCATTCCATACTTAGCAGCAGGCCACATGATCCCTTTATGCGACATAGCTTCTCTCTTTGCCTCACGAGGCCTCTTTGTTACAATCATCACCACTCCTTTAAACGCTAAAATCCTTCCCAAATCCAACAAATTCTTCACTGTTCAAACTTTTCCCTTCCCTTCCCAAGAAGTTGGCCTCCCAGACGGTGTAGAAAACCTCACATCCATCACTGACTTAGAAAGCGGCTTCAAACTCTACCATGCCACCATACTGCTCCGCGAACTCATTGAGAATTTCGCGCAGCAGCACCCACCTGATTGCATCGTGGCGGATTTTTTATTCCCGTGGGTGGATGAGCTAGCAAACAAGCTTAACATTCCGAGATTCGCCTTCAATGGTTTCTCCCTCTTTACTATATGCGCCATGGAATCTCTCAAATTACACCCTCTCCCTGATGATGCCTGTGGTTCTTTTCTCATTCCCAATTTTCCTCATGATATCACCATTAACTCAACACCACCCACAGAGTCCAAATCTTTTATGGATCCTCTACTCACCATAGCCCTCAAAAGCAATGGCTTCATCATCAATAGCTTGGTGGAGCTCGATGGTGAAGAATATATTGAATATTACGAGAAAATCATCGGTCATAAAGCTTGGCATCTTGGCCCGGCCTCTCTTGTTCGCAAAACCACTCAAGAGAAGGCGGAAAGAGGAGAAAAAAGCACATTGAGCGTGCAAAAATATTTAACTTGGCTTAACTCTAAGCAAGATAACTCAGTGATTTACATAAGCTTTGGAACCATTTGTTATTTCCCTGATGAGCAATTATATGAGATTGCTAGCGCGATAGAAGCATCGGGTTACGATTTCATATGGGTTGTCCCAGAGAAGAAAGGGAAAGAGAATGAGAGTGAAGAGGATAAACAAAAATGGTTGCCTAAGGGATTTGAAGAGAGGAATAAGGGGATGATTGTAAAGGGGTGGGCACCACAGGTTGTTATATTAGGCCACCCTGCGGTGGGTGCATTTTTGACGCATTGCGGGTGGAACTCTGTGGTGGAGGCTGTTAGTGCCGGAGTTCCGATGATCACGTGGCCAGTGCATAGCGATCAATTCTATAACGAGAAGTTAATAACTCAAGTGAGAGGGATTGGAATTGAACTCGGTGCAGACGAATGGATCATGGCTGCTTTTAAAGATATGAAAAAGCTAGTGGAGAGAGACTGTATAGAGAAGGCTCTGAGACGGTTGATGGATGGTGGTGAAGAAGCTGTCCAAGTTAGACGTAAAGCTCGAGAGTTTGCAAAAATTACTAGATATGCTGCTGGAGAAGGTGGTTCATCTCATAAAAATTTGACGACTTTGATTGATGAAATTAAGCGATTAAGAGAGTAAGATGCTTAATTAACTTTATATGATGTAATTCTTTATACAGAATATAAAGGTTTTAAATAACTCTAGCGGGCTATTTGTGATCGCTTAAAGACTTTTGCAGTTTTAAATTGATATTGTGATACTAATTGCGATTGTTGCATATGTATTTTATACTAATTGAGTTGGATAGATAATGTTAGAAATCTATCAAATCTATGGAGAATTATGAATCAATTTTAATGAATAAGATTCAATCAACTGATCAAATTCCCTCCCGTTCTTCACTCTTCACTAATTGAGTTGCATATGTATTTTATACTAATTGCAAGATGATTTTGGATCCCAATTGTTAATGGAAGAAGAAAAATAAACTTAGGATGTAACGAAAATAGGGGAAGAAGAAAAGATTTATGCAAAGTTTCTCTGCTCACAACCTGTGATTTTATTCTTTTTAAAAAACTTTAATGTTCAAGTGTATTACAATAATAGGGGTTACTCATTCTATTTATAGTTTTAGACTTGCTTGCTCCCTAAATCAAAGTTCAAAACAAAAAAAAAAGCCCAAAATACCTAATTTGCTAACACTACAAAATAGGCATAAAGTTAAAATTCATGTTGAGGCAACTTGTTTCGACACTTCGACAATATTAGGTATTTCGACAGCAACATGCTTTGACACCATGAGTTACATTCTCAACACACTATCTAATTCATTGTGTCTAAGCTATCTACAGTTATCATAGACCTTAATTTCTTGAACACTTTGACATGCACTCATTTTTTCATGATGTCTGCAATATGATTCTCAGTTTTGCAGTGTACCAAGTTCATCTTCTCTTTTGCTACATGCTCTCGAAGATAATGGAATCTCATTTTGATGTGATTGCTTCGTCCATGTGCTATCAGTTTCTTCTCCACATTAATAGCTGACATGTTTTTGATCCCATGTAATATCTTCGAATGAATTCATCATCCATGTTGCTTGACATGCACAAAGAGAAACAACTATGTACTATACTTCACACAACGACAATGCTACTACTAGCTCTTTTCTCGAACTCTAAGCAATTGGTGTACCATCTAACATAAACACATAACCAACTGAATTTTCTATCCTTAACATCACTACACAATCTTGAGTCGGTGTAACCCACTATCTTACATTCTTTTCCTTCATCAGCTGCAGGAAACAAAATTCCATAGTTGAGAGTTTCTTTCAGATACCTTAGTATCCTCTTCGTCGTTGCTAGATGTGATACCTTTGGCTTTGGCATGAATCTACTCACCAAACCTACATTATATGCTAAGTCAGGACTTGAGTGACAAAGGTACCTTAATGGCCCAATAAGTCTTCTGTAGTGTTTTGGGTTGACATCATCTTCATTTGAGTCTTTCGACAGTTGCAGTCTTGGTTCAGCATGTGCCGAAGTTGAATTGCAGTCTTTCATCTCAAATCTCTTGAGTATTTCACTTGAATATCTTCTTTGATTCATCACTAAACCTCTACTACTCTTGTAGAATTCGATGCCAAAGAAGTATGAAATGCCGCCAAGATCAGACATTTCCAATTCCTTGCTAAGACCATCTTTAACGTCTTTGACCTCTTTCTTGCAGCTACATATTATCAATAAGTCATCGATATAGAGACATAGTATAAGCAATTCACTATTTCATCTTCTTACATATACTCCATACTCAGTTGTGCACTTCACAAATTCCTTCTCCCTTAGAAAACTATCAATATTTTTATTTCAAGCTCTTGGAGCTTGTTTGAGTACATACATGGTCTTATGCAGTCTGTACAGTTTTCTTTATTTGCCTTGTTTCAAAAACCAAACTGGTTGTGCAACATAAAATTTTCCATCTAAGGGGCCATTTAGGAATGCACATTTCACATCCATCTGACAAATGTGCCAATTGTTCATATTTGCTAGACTAACAACCAATCTGATTGTTTTAATTCTAACAACAGGTGCAAAAACTTCATCGAAGTTGATTCCTTCTTTCTTAAGAAATCCTTTCACCACTAGACTTGCCCTATGTCGAGTTACTTCACCTTTGGGATTCAATTTCACCTTGTATACCCATTTCACATTGATTTCCTTCTTGCCTTGAGGCAATTCGAGAAGCGACCAAGTGTTGTTGACTTCTATGGACTTCAATTCCTCATTCATTGGTTTCATCCACTTCGAATCCTTCAATATCTCAACTGCATTGGCTGGTTCGACATCTTCATAGAAAGAATAGTGTACCAGCTCACCTTCATTATCGACCATATCATCTAATGTAATTACACATTCCTTCAAACTTGCAGGCATGTGTCTTGATCTTTGAGATTTTCTTGGGCCTAATTCACCTCTGACTTCTTCTTGTCGAACTTATTATTTTTTTTACTTCAGTGGTTGGTTCTTCACATAAGATCCTTACTGAATCTTTCTTTACATTTTCAGTCAAATCCCATTCCTTAAGCTCATATATGATCACGTCTCTGCTAATCACTACTTGCTTGTCCACTGGGTCGAATAACTTGTATCTACCATTCGAATGATATCCTATTAGAATCATTTGACTCGATTTGTCATTAAGTTTTCTTTTCAACTGATCTGGCATACGTCTATGTGCTATAGATCCAAATAATTTCAGATGACTCAAGTTAGGCTTGACACCAGACTAACATTATTATGCGTGATTCCTTCTAGCTTCTTCGTTGGACATCTTTTTAGGATGTATGTGTTGACTAGGAATTTTGATTGCATGAGTTTTTAAGCTGAGATGATATATTTTAGGAAAAATGTAGTTCGAAAGGAAGTATGAAGGAGTCTCTATGAAGATTTTGATAGGTGAAAAGTTGATAAGAGTTTTATTTTGCTATGTGTTGGAGAAAGGTTCGTATGCGAACCATTGGGACTTAAATTATTTGAAGTATCACATTAGATGTTTCGACCGTCACATTTATGTTATTTGGCGCTTCAAAGGCAAAAGGGTTTTCAAATTTGAAAGTTTGATCTTATCCAAAGAGACGCGTGAAAGCAAAAGGTTCGAAGGCGCATGCAGATGTTGAACGTGGCAACATCTTATGAAGAGAACGTTTTGGTCTAATTAGTATAAATAGGGGTCTTAATGTTAGGATTAATTGTGTTCACGTCTTTGTACAAATTACTTTAAATTACTCAAAGTACAAGTGTTCGAGAAACGAGTTGTGAGAATGTACGTATGGTGCACCAGTTTTATGTTTATTGTTATTCAACTTTAATTGAATTTTTATACATTCTCTTTAAGTTTAAGTCGAAAGCCTTTTACATACCAGTCTTTTCTTTAAAGCATTACATTACTACATTCGAAGTAACAATTGAAATCAATTTAATTTAAAAGATCAAGAATGTTATCGAATGTATTCTTTGTATTCAAGAACAAAAGTTTTATTAAGAACACATGTACTTTGGATCAATCTGGTCAGTTCTGCAAGTTACCAATCTTTTATTCGATTTGGAAGAGCAGTAGTTGTTTACCAAATTTCACGGTAAACAAATTGGCACACCCGGTGAAACTTGTGTTCAATAAACAAATTTTTCTGTTCTAGTAAAAAGTTTTAAAATCTTCATTATCCTTTTGTATTTTTTGTGTTGTATGAGATTTAGGAGTGGAAAATTATCCACAAACAATAAGAAAATACATAAAATAAAGTATGTTAGGAAAATGGTGAATCAAGGCCAGACAGGTATACAAAATCCTCCTAACAATGATGAAGTACCACCCCAGTCACTTCGACAAGGGGAAATACAGTTTTTGCGCCTTCTTCTGAGGCTATATTGTCGTCAACAAGTTCGACGCCAAGGAATTTGAACGCTTCTATTGGCCCTCTCTTCACTTATATAGGCCCATAGGGTTCACAAGGGACCCCTCTCCAGGGGGAAATGCTTTTCATAGGCCTCAGGGGCCACCTGGTTTTTCCATGTCTCAAAATGGCTGTGAGAGGCCTTATGTCATGCCATCTTCATTTATGATGGGTTTACATAATTCTACTTCAACATATTCGGATCCTGTTATGAACGTTACTTCAGAATTACAAGGTTATGGATCTACTATTAATAACAGGGGTTGAAATGTCCAACCACAAATCGAAGGAGTTTCTTCCCAAATGCCAAATTTAACAAATCAATCTGTAGTAGTAATTAGACAGCAAATGGACGAAAGTAGCCATGAAATAGTCCAAATGCTTGTGCAAATAATGGGTACAATATTTAACCTTTTGATTCAAAACACCACTCAAGCGAACCAACAAAATGGTTGGGAAAATGACGTGCATCGTTTATTTCTTTAGTGTGCCTCAACCCTCAACGCATCCTCAAAGGGAGTAGGTTAGGGAAAATCAAGAGGTAAATTTAGAAGAAGACCCAACAAATAACCAAGTTCAACAGAATCAAAGAAATGCACCCCAGGTGAATATGATAAATCAGGGAGGAATAGTCGAAGTGCCTAGAATTGAGAATATCGAAATACCTAGAGTTGAACCTTTTAGACAAAAACCACAAATTTTAAGGCAACCCGAACCTAGGGTTATGATGGTAAATAGAAACCAAAATGCTGATGAAGTCTTATATCAAGTTTGACAAGACAACATGGAAACTGACAACAATCTGACAGCCATGGTCGAAAGAATTATAGCATTAAAGGTTGTAAATGTAGGCCTCACTAGGCCAAATTACACTTCTCTTTTATCTGAATATATTTTGCAAACTGAATTGCCCATGGGTTGGAAAATCTCAAAGTTCACAAAGTTCTCTGGTGACACCACCGAATCAACTGTCGAACATATATCCAAGTATCTTACCGAGGGTGGGGACATAGTGAATAATGAAAACTTAAGGATAAAATATTTTCCTAGTTCACTAACCAAAAATACTTTCACATGGTTCACTACCCTTGCAGCGAATTCTATCCAAGATTGGACGTGTTTAGAAAGACTGTTTCATGAACAATTTTATGTAGGCCAATCGAAGATAAGTCTAAGCGAATTGGCC